CAGTCGTTCTCCTTTGTGATCGACCGACCTCACTCAGCACCATGTTCTCCAGCTCCGTCCACGGCATGAGGGGCCTTGTCGTTTCGTCATTGCATCGTAGCGATGCATCGCGTTCCTCTATGTGCATGCTCCAGAGCTTCTTTACCATTCTTCTACCGACGGTCATCCGGGCTGTTTCCACTTTCTTGCTATCGTGAACAGTGCCGTGACGAACGCGGGAGTGCACATATCTGTTCATGCCGTGGTTCTTCCTTCTTTAGGGTTTACACCCAGCAGAGGTATTGGGGGACCAGACAGGATTTCTATTCCCAGTTGTTTAAGGCGGCACCATATTGCTTTCCACAATGGTTGTGCGGATTTACACACTCACCAGCAGGGTGTGAACGTTCCAGTTTCTCTGAACTCGCTACAGCATTTGCTTCTTTCTGTTGTTTTGAAGCGGCCTGATAACTCACCGTTGTTTTGATTTGGTGGCTAATGATCATGAGCATTTTTTTCAAGTGTTTCTTAGTCATTTGGATGTCATTTTTGGCGGGCTGTCTGTCCATGCTCTTCCCCACTTTTTACCTGGCCCTTGCATTTTATAGCATGTTCCTCCAACTTGCTCAATGGTGAGAATCAGCTTGGAGCTTGGTATAAGCCACAAGGAATTGCTCTGAGCAGTGTTTAGACAACGTGCTAATCATTTGGACGTCCAGGAGTCCTGCCGCTTTCTCTTGAGTGGTAACTAGTGATGGCCCATTGCCGGATGGCCAAGGAAAGTTGCTAAGTCTCTTAAGCTCAGTTTTTTTTCATCCATAAAAAGGGGGAAGACTCATGGCTTTCTGTAAGGATTAGAGGAGTTAATATCTGCAGAGTTCTTAAAATGCTTCCTGGCATAAAATCGGCATTCAAGAAATGCTAACTAATGTTTAGATCATTGTTGTTATTGTCACACTCTCTTGTCACTTACCAACACGTTTGGGCTCCAAAGACCAGGTCATTCTTTGAAAATCAGCATTATGAGAAAGTAGAGGATGGCCACACCAGATCAAAGAGTGGAGAGCAACTCCATCCCTACATACCTGCCAGATTGCATCATTACCTAACAGCCAACACACTGAGAATCATGGCCCAGCCAAGCTGACACAGCACCTTAACCATTGCTCCACCATGACGCTCACCCTGACCTCTGTGTTCCTTATCACCAGATGTACGTAGTCAACTCAAAAATAGTCTCAGAGTACGTCTTTCACAATTGTCGTAAGTGCAAACTGTCAGATGTCGAGGTAGTTGGTAAGGAAGGAGAGGCTCCACTACATTGAGCACACCTTGCACTTTGCCGGAAACCCATGCCTTCGCTTCTGTCTGCCTTCTTATGGCACGCCAATGCACCCCATCTGGGCTGCGGCTCCTGCGACTCACTCCCCGTTGTGCTTTCTTATTGTCCCACTCAGTCTTCTGTGATCATCAAGTTGATTCTGACGCCTGTGGCCCACGAGTTTCACAGTAGAACTGAGCTCTGTATGGTTTTCCATGGCTGGCACTTTATACAGAAACGACTCCCCAGGCCTGTAGTCTCAGCTGGTTAGATTCAAATATAAATGTGAACTGTTTGAGCCACCGAGGGGACCCGCAGTTCCTCCAGCTTCAAAGCCTAAGCCACAGCTGTTCCTTATTCATTTTAACTTCTAGAGCCCTCTTGCTTTTTTTTTTATTGCTTCTGCTGAGCTGGCCGGGTATGCTAATTTACTGTACTTGAGTGCACTGTACTTGTTCTGTGCTTATTTGTGTTTAGCATATTGCATCCCTTGAAGTTGTCTTGGGCCTCTTTTGAAGGTCCCCAATAGTATTGTTGAAGACAGGCCTGGGAGTCTGCTTCCAGTAAGATTCCAGCTCATCCAAGCTCACTGTCATCGAATTGATGCTGACTCACAGCAACCCTGTAGGACAGGGTGGAACTGCCCCCTGAGTTTCTGAGACTGTAATTTTTTATGGGAGTAGAAAGCCCATCTTTCTCTCTTGGAGAGGCTGGTGGTCTTGAACTACTGACCTTTTAGTTAGAATCCCAATGCATAACCACAACACCATTGGCGCTCAAGGGCGATTATAGGCAATAAACCCCGCAGAGAAACTGCATACATTTGCGCCGCGATGCGTCAGAATCAACTTGACACCAATTAGCAACAACAGTGGTAGATTCGGGCTATCTTCAGAAATGGCTTCCTAAGAGGCTAACTGGCATGGGATGTTGACATGAAACTCGTGAGCTCATTTTAAAACACTCAATGACCAAACATTTAGGGTGTGCCACCACTATGCTAAGGATTTCACAAGAGTCATCTCATCGATCATCTCATAATGTTCCATTGTGGTTCCCATTATACAGGGAAGACAACTGAGGCACAGGGCAGTTGGGTGGCTCCCCCCAGGCCATAGCCTGTGTGCAGGCAGACAGCCCAGCTTGAGCACCACGGGCTGTTCTTATTTTTAAATCATTTTATTGGGGCTCATACAGTTCTTTTCATAATCCATACATACATCGATTGTGTAAAGCACATTTGTACATTCGTTGCCCTCATAATTCTCAAAACATTTGTTCTCCACTTAAGTCCTTGGCATCAGCTCCTCAGTTTTCCCCCCTCCCTCCCTGCTCCTCTCTCCCTCATGAACCCTTGATAAGTTATAAATTATTATTTTGTCATATCTTACACTGTCCGACGTTTCTTTTCCCCCATTATCCTGTTGTCTGTCCCCCAGGGAGAGGTTTATATGTAGATCCTTGTAATTGGTTCCTCCTTTCCACCCCACCCTCCCTCCACCCTCCTGGTATCGCCACTGGTCCTGAAGGGATCATCTGCCCTGGATTCCCTGTGTTTACAGTTCTTATCTGTACCAGTGTACATCCTCTGGGTCTAGCCATATTTTAAAGGTAGAATTGGGATCATTATAGTGGGGGGTGGGTAGGGGTGGAGGAAGCATTTAGGAACTAGAGGAAAGTTGTCATGTTTCATTGTTGCTACACTGCACCCTGACTGGCTCATCTCCTCCCCGCGACCCTTTGGTAAGGGGACGTTCAGTTGCCTACAGATGGTCTTTGGGTCCCCAGTCCCCCATGGGCCGTTCTTACCTTTGGTAGCAGAGTAATAGTAAGCGTTGAAGTTTTTCCCGATGTTGTTGAAGCTTCGGAAGTACACGAGGGTCATCGAGTTGGAGGAAGATGAATAGGTGATGTAGGAGCCAGTACAGGTCTTGCCCAGGGACTTCGTCGAGGACGGAGGGCCATCCAGGATTTCAAAATATTCATTGGTGCAGTCGAGGCTGTGGGAAAAAACACCCGTGGGGGCCTCCAAGTCTTCACATCAGAAGATTTCAGAGACACTACGAGACAGAGCCAATAGCTCTTCAATGCAGAGGCCGGGGCCAGGTGGGAACAGAGCAGTCACTCACCCCCTAGTCTGAACTTCTTTCATTCTACCTTTTCTCTCTTACAGCCACCGGCTTAAGGGTGTGGGCTTTTCACTAAAGGAGAAAACAGGAGGCTGAAGCTGATGCTACAACCTGGGGTCAAGGCTAACAGCCAATTTCACTGGGCCCATCCTGTGCCTAGAGGCCATGGCCTCAGCTTCCATTTGTAAACTTTAGGAGGACTTCGACTACTGACTGCTCCCAGCTCACTCTGGGAAGTCACCTGCCTGCCAGCGTGGCTCCATATTGTCCAGTTCCCACCAGGACTAAGCTCAGGAGATCACCCCCACGACTCAGCCCAGTGAGCCGTCAATTCCAAGTCACGTTTTAATTCCCCCAAATTCGAGAGCCATCAATATTTTAAATTGCTCCTGAGTGCTAGATGTTCACCCATGAAAAATACCAAACCTTGGGCATTTACGGCACGAAGGCCAGGAATTCCTGGTTCATTAAGTCTGGGGTCAAGCTTGTAGCCTTCACCTTTCACCACCGGGAGGCCTGGACACTCGCCCCGGGCATACATGTGTGCTAGTGGGCACACACACACACACACACACACCCCTCTGATAGCTAATCATAGCATACGCCTGTGGTTCTCAACTTCCCTAATGCCGCGACCCTTTCATACAGTTCCTCATGCTGTGGGGACCCCCAACCATAACATTATTTTCGTTGCTACTTCATCATTGTCATTTTGCTACTGTGATGAGTCGGGCAACCCCTGTGAAAGGGTCATTCCACCCCCAAAGGGGTCGCGACCCACAGGTTGAGAACTGCTGGCATACACAGTGAACGTCATTTTAATAAAAATTGTATAAAAGTGCACAAAACGAGTAGCATTTCTATAAATGAACAATAAACACAGGTAAGCAAAAAAATTTTAAATTGTGTAATTTACAGCAACATCATAACGAAATGCCTATAAAGCAGGCTTTCAAATGTTTGTGAAAAAGTTCCACAATCTTTTCATTGTGTTTTTCCATGAACTTCTGAAGCCCCCTAAAAGCGTCCAGAATTTGTCTGCTGTAGATAAACAGCTAAACCAAAAATGACCATCCAAAGCCAAATGGGAGGGAAGACGTCCCTGGGTATCGCCAACAGTTTGCACTCAGCTGGTAACAGAAGGTTGGCAGTTCAGATCTCCCCAGGCGCACTGCAAGAGAGAGGCCTGACAATCTTCTTTCTTAAAGATGATTCAAATCTCACTGCCATAGAGTCAGTGCTGCCCCACAAGGACCCCCTGTGGCTTTCCGAGAATGCAACCATTTCCGGGAGTAGAAAGCCCAGTGTTTCTTCCTGGGAGCTGCTGGTGGTTTTGAACTGCTGACCATGCAGATCGCAGCCCAATGAGTAGTCACAACACTACCAGCACTCCTAAGGATGACAGCCAAGAAAAGCCAATGGAGCCGCAGTTCTAATCTATAATACACAGGGTCGCTGCCATGAGTTAGAATGGACTCAGTGGCACAAAGCAACAATTAGGATGCACAAACCTACTGTCATCCAGCCATTTTTGACTCATAGCAACTCTATACGGACTCCAGCAGAACTAACAGCTTGATCATTCTCCCTTGCAGCAGCTGGTGGGTTCGAACCGCCAAACTTCCAGTTGGCAGCTCAATGCTTAATCTACTGCATCACGAGGGCTCCTTCCAATCCAGCCCTACTGCCATCGAGTTGATTCCGACTAATAGCAATGCTACAGGTCAGGGTAGAACTGCTCTGTAAGGCTTTCCCAGACTCAATCTTTCTCCTGCTGAGTGACTGGGTGGTCTGAACCATGGCCTTTGATTCCTTACTATTGTTTAATTCCCTTTCACATTCTCCAAATGACAAAATGCTAGCAACGGAGAGCAAGTCCGGGGAGAGCGATGGTGGTGGGGGCTGGTGAACATAAAGGGGAAGGGATCATTCTTTTCGCTCACGGCACAGCACTGTATCTTGATGAAGCAGCAGTGATGTGAATCTGTCCTGCTGAGTCTGTTCCAAGTCACAGCCACCCTGTGTGCAACCGAGGTAAACCCCCGCCCGAACTTGTGCCAGCCTCACAATTGTTCTTATGTTTGAGCCCACTGCTGCAGGCACTGTGCCCATCCATCTTCTTGAGGCCTTCCTCTTTTGTGCTGCCCCTCTGCTTTCCCAAGCATGATGTCCTTCTCCAGGGACTGGTCTCTCCTGACAACATCTATATGCAGGACACAATCGCTTAGGACTACCCCCCTCTACACACATACACACACACACACACACACACACCACACACACTCACACAGAAGTGCATGTAAAACTGGTGACTCCAGTGTGAGGTTGTGGTCCAGTCAACAATGTTGAACCAGTGGCTGCTTCCTGCCTCCGATATCTTACAGCAGTTACACAAGTTGTCTCCACCGGGAGGAGTTAGGGGAAGGGTACATGGGCGGGGGGAGAGGGGGGACTGCTAATATCGCATGGATTTCGTTTACTGACACTCATTTTTGTGAGTGAGTTTGGTGACACGGCCGAGGGAGGAAAGGACTGGGTCTCTTAAGGACCCTGTGGTGGGTGTGGTCAACTTACTTCAGATACGGGAAGGCGAGCAGAATGTGATCAGACACGTTTGCCTTGATTTCCCAGACGCAGGTGATGTTGTCGTGCATCTCGTTCTGCGGCGGGTTCCTAATCGCTCCAGAGGAATTTGTGATCACGCCGCCACACGGGGATTTGTCTGAACGCAGGCAGAAGGGGGTTGAGCACCGGAGGCTCCCACTGTTTGCATCGTTCAGTTGACACTGTTGTCACGCGCACCCTTCCTGCCTGGCCCCACGCCCCCACCCCACGTTTCTTTGGTCATTACTTTCTGAGTGTGTCTTGGGACAGATCAAGCATGAACTAGGATAGACGGGATATACACTGTGACAAAGGTCTGCAGGTTTAAGGAATTAGGGTCTGAAAGGGGCTGGAGTGTGAAGTGTCTTGCACCTGTTTTGAGAATTCTGCCATGGCTATAGACTTGCTCAGGAGAGCTGTGACCGACTACCAGCCAGAACCATCCCCTCCAGGTACTCCCGAGAGGCGAGTCCTGCAGCCTTGCCTTTTGTGAGGTTCCCAATGAGAAGAGGTTGGCCCTGATTGTGATGGCAATGTTCCATCCGCCTTCAGTTGGAATTTTAATATTGGGAAGAACTTGCCTTGAATCACCCACACCAACTCCCACAAATACTGAAAACCCTCCGTGTCCACCTCAGCCACCCTCCTGCCTGTTCCTTTGTTTCTCCATCTGCCGGTCTACCCTGCCCAACGTCCAGTCCCACGTGGAAGGGTCCACCCATGACCATAGAAACAGAGGACTTTTCTCCATCAGATCAACTGGCTGGACAAGAACTGCATCCACATCCTCTGGGCAGAGGTCCAAGTGGCCTGGTCATCTCGCTGTGGCTCTTTTCTAGGAGGACCAGTCAGGGTTTCTAGACACCCTTGTTATTTTAGCCCTTTATTGACAAGCAGGGCTAAGAAAAATGCAACGGAGCATCAGCAAGCCCAAGGCATAAGTGAGAGAGGAAGGAGCAGAGAAAGAAAGCACGGAGGAGGAGGTGCCCATCACGGCAGAGAACTCTAAATGATGGCCCTGGACAATCTGCTGAATTTGGGATCAGAGGCCTATCCTTCCCTCACGGTGCCCCTATCCTTCGCTCATAGAAGGCTCGCATCGTTGACTCTTTGGACGTCCTTCTTTGACTAAATGGAAATGGACTGGAAGCCATGAATAGATGGATCTTCATGACTTGGTCTTTCACTCAGAACACTGGCTCCTAGGGGTTGCTTTGAAGACTCCCTTCAGCTTGAGCTAGAGGAGGACGTAGAGTAGCCAAGAGAACGGGCATCTCACCTGCAGGTGTTTTCACCACCGGACCAGCCGACGCAGGACCTGTCAAGCACACAAAGGACATCAAGAACATTGGCTGGCTCGAGGTGCACAGCCCTGCGTACATGTGAGAACCCCTTTGGAGCTTTGAGCGTGGACATTGTAGGGGCTCCTCCTAGCACTTCTGAAATGGAGTCTCTGAGAGTAAGACTGACAGGGAGGGACTCAGGCTTAGAGGCATTGCTCTCTTGTCAGACATCCAAATGAGATTTAAAATTTTGAGGGCAGTTTTTTTTTTTGTTCTTTTAAACATCTGTCTGTTTGTTAATTAACTAATTTATTTTCAAAGGGAGTGTTTTTTCAGAAAACCAAAGACATCAGATTCTGGCCCCTCTGTAGCCTCTTCCAGGGACCCAAGTTCAGAATAGGAAGCGACACTGATTCACATTTCTTTGACTCCTTGACCTTGGTGCTGACCTAGGGCCTAAGGATGCCATGGATCCTGGCCTCCTTCCCCATCATTTCTCTCAGCTCCGTACCATCCAATGGAAAGCATCCTTCAGGACCAATCTATTCTCACCGTCTGGAGTTGACAAATCAGGGGCGTGGGGAGGGGAAGCCGTGTGTGAATGAAGCTTTTTAGGCTTTGTCAGTTCAACTTTGCTCGTGACTCACTCTGCGAGCTGGCTGAGAGCATCAAGGGGCCTGGAGGTTTGATGAGGGAGAACGTTTACTGGTGTGGAAAACTCTGGTGTTGGGTGGAGAGCATGAGAGAAGGCCACCCGCAAGAGAAGCTCTGTGGGGCCATGCTTCCTTGAACACGAACAAGGCTGAGCTAAAGACGATGTAGAAACAGAATCAAATCCCCTTGACTTTGCCCCGTCTGGCTCACCTGTCACTCAACCACTCTCCTGCCCCTAGCTCATTGTCCCTCCCACCTGCTGCCATGCTTAGAACTGGCACCCCAACAGTGCTGTTCAGAACGTAGAATTTGCTTCTTTTGTGGAAAACGCATGGGCTGCAGGAGAGGCGAAAACAGAGCCAGGCTGGATGCTTCCTAAGGTCCCACCCAGCTCTCCCATTGGGCAGCCGAGTGACCCTCCTTCTCCGTATGCCACAGGTTAGGGGAATAGGGCCCATTCCATTTCCATCAGGACTCTCCCTCCATGGGCTGGATACACTGAAGATATCTGCATTGGCTCCCTTACCTGGTGGGGTGCTGGTTGAGTTTTCAGTACCTGTAAGTGTTAGAGAAGAGAACACCGGCTATGAGCAGATAACATATGGGTTCATTTTAAGTAGCTTTTTCTACCCTGACACTGAGAACTATCGCCTTGGGAAGCCTAGGCCAGGTCTGCCAGGGGAAAGAGCAGAGGCTTACCTGAGCAGATCACACTAGCATCTTCACCGTGACCACAGTTGTGGGAAAACCAGCCAACGTGGGAACATTCTTCCAGGTGCTGTTCATCACCTGTACAGTGCACGTTGTCAAGGAGGATTTTCCCAGCACCTTCCCCAAAGTGAGCCTCGCCAGGGGCCGATATGGCCCAACCACAGCCCAGCTGCCTGCAGACAATGTTGGCTTCCTGCAGACCCCACAGGTCATCACATATGGTTCCCCAGGCTCCCTGGTAGAGAAGTTCCACTCGGCCAGCACAGCTCCCTTGGCCTCCCACCAGTCGCATGGGCACCCAGCCTCCTGGAGAAGAAGAGGAATCGAGGGGTGATATTTGTTCCCAAATGCCTAAGACCCCACTTTCTCACCTAACTCAGCCTGGCCACAAGGGGCCTCATTTTATTCCCAGGTGGGTCTGCTTTTCCAAAAAACACACAGAAAACAAACTCTCTGCCATCGAGTTGAGGCCAACTCATAGCAATCGTACAAGACAGGGTAGAATGAACTGCCCCTGTGCATTTCCAAGACTGTAACTCTGCTCAGGAGTAGAAAGGTCCGTCTTTCTCCCAAGGAGCAGCTGGTGGTTTTGAACTGCTGGCCTTATGGTTAGCAGCCCAGCTTATAACCACTATCCCATTAGGGATCCTAAGAGGCTTAGAGTATCTTCTTTGTCAACAACCTGTTTTAAGATACTTTGCTTGTGGTAGGTTGCTTACAGAAATGGTCACAGCTATTCCCTCCCCCATGTCCTTGCTCTTTACAAGGTGACGGTATAGACCAGAATGTGGCTGAAGCCGTGCGGCACCCATGCAGAGCTAAGGAGTCCTCCAAAGGTTCAGCTCACCCATGGGGCGCACTGAAGCTATCATTCATTCACTTGAGTTCAAATGGGTCAGTTTGAGCTAGCCCATCACTTCCATTGCTTCAGATAACAGCGAATGGCCAGCCTGTTATTGCTTTTCATCGTCAATCGAATGAAGTTGTTCACAAGACAGAATCCCAGCCCCACCACCAAAGGCGTGTAAAGACATAGCCCTACCTGGAGATGCAGAAGAAGGTGCTGGCTTAGCCACAGGTATCTCTGTTGAAGTAGGACGTAGATTCTCAAGGGCTAGTGATGGGTAAGAAAGAAGGACTGGCATTAGAGGATAGTCTGAACATGTGGAGAAGATAGTTAGCTCTCTCTGGGGCTGCCTGTCCTTCCAGGATTCAGCATTCTAAGGCCAGTGACCCAATAATCCGAAGAGATCCATTTAGGGCTTGTTGGGAAGCCACATGGCTCTAGTGGCCTTTAGTACAAACAAGTTCATGGACAATTGACTACACGAGGGGTCATCAGTTTGCCTCCGTATCTCTCTTCTCTGTCCTCTCCCCACATATGCTATTGCCATGACTGTATTCCAACAAGGCACAGGAGGCCACCCAACAGATCCATGGGGGGAGGACAGTATCAACTCTGAAATGGCACAAGGAAACCTTTTAGGATGAGATAACACATCTGTATACAACAACAAAATTTCATGAAACTTGACCTTAAGATGGTTGAATTTGATGGCATGTGAATTGAACTGTTTGAAAAAACTAAGATGGATTGATGGCTGAATATAGAGGGATGGAGAGATGGATAGATACATTTATCAAAGCATCCAGGAAGGGTTTATTGCTCAATAATTCAAGCACTACTATACCAAAAACTGAAACCAACTAACTGCCATCAAGTCAGTTCTGACGCACGGTGACCCCGTAGGACAGGGTAGAGCTGCCATTCTGTGTTCCTGAGACTATAACTCTTTGAGGGAGTAGAAAGTCTCATCTTTCCACAAGGGAGCAGCTGGTGGTTTCAAACTATTAACCTCGAGGCTAGCAGTCCAACACACAAAAACTACACCACCATGTCTCCTAAGCATTACTCTATATTTGAAAAAATTATAGTAGAATGTTAAGAAAAAAGTGCTCCTCAATTTCTATTACAAGACCCACTTTTCTGCTTTTGAGCAGCAACCTCGTGTTTTTCAAGATGGGACGTCCCTATGTCAGTGGCCAGTCCCTGTGACCACTTGTTCTTTCCTTTTCAAAGACTGTCAGTGGTATGGAGTTTTAGGGAGCATGGAGTTTATTTAACGTGCTTGCTGTAATGAAGAGGTGACTGAGGGCCAAGGCCATTGAGCTGGTGAGAGGCCAACCCTGAATCAGATTCCAGTAGCCCTGGGCTGTTTCACCCCAACACTGATTAGGTCAGCATGTGACTAGAGAAGGAAACTATCATTAACACTAGTTAATATTAACGAGGGGCATAGTCATATCCTTATTCAATTTTCTGTAATATTTCTTTTTAATGAAGAGGAAACTGAGATCAAGAAGGGTGAAATAACTTGGCTGAGGTCACAACTGTGGGTGATCATAATTGATGTCTGTAAGCTCTATTAGGGAGTAAACCCCATAACAGAAGAGATAATGATGGTTTGATCACAGTTAGGATCCAGCACTTTGCAAGGGTTTGGTACATGGTGGACACTTAGTCAATAGGTGCTGAATGAATCGATGAATGAAAAAAATTAGGAATCAAATCAATATCTGACACTAAAGCACATCCTATTTTTGACATCACACCAAGTTGAAATTATGGCATCAAATGTAAAATGTGGTCCTACCTGTAGACAGAGCATCTGAGGAATCAGCACCTGTCAATGTGACGAGAGATTAATGGTTCGTTCTATCAAGTCTTGATTATATCAAGTCCCTCTCATCAAGTTGATTCCAACTCATAGTGACCAGACAAGACAGATAGAACTGCACCTGTGAGTTTCTGAGACTAAAATGCTTTACAGGAGTAGAAAGCCTCGCCTTTCCCCCATCAAGTCTTGATTGGTGGATGTGTATTGGGAACACCCTACATTTAAGGTGTTATGGGAAACAGAAGAGGTAGAAGCAGAGATCTTACTTCCAGGAATCTTGGAATTTCATGGCAAATGGGGGCATGAGACCAGGCAGCAAATGCTGATTGTCCAGGAGAGGCACAGAAATGAGCACTTCCCGTGGAGCCTCCTGGGGTTGAAGGAGGAGGTGCAGCTCCGGGTCGGCCTGGTGCAGCCCAGCAGAGCTTGTCTTAGAGAAGTCATTACAGTTGCAGGTGTGACAGGAATCAGAAAAGGGTGGAGAGTCCCAGGGGTGAGATCAACCAGAGCGGCAGAAATGAAGGGGGGCCAAGACTGGCTCCAGGCTTGGCAGGGTCTTCACACCCAGGAGAGGCAGGTCTTTGGACACAAACTGACAAAGTAAACTTACCACCTGGAGGTCACACATGAAAACGTTTCTGGGGGCCACGTGGGGGGAGAAAAACAAAGGGTTTGAGTGGTGGGGACCGTGACAAATAGGAAAACCCATATCATGCCCCAAAGAAGGAGCTTTTTCTTCTGTCCAGTCAGCGAATGCAATGGAAACATTTATGGTTTTGTTCCGGAATTTCCCCCCAAAGAATGTAAGAGTTTTGATTTTGATGCCAAACTTTCTGATTATTAAATACTAGTCTAGCTTGCATGTTCAACCTGAACAGGTTGGGTCCAGCGCAGAGCCCCCTCTGCATCAAAGGATGCTCAGTCCATTGCATCACCTTGGAAGGGCATTGAGAACTCATACTTGCCCTTTATTCCCAGACTGAGCTCTGAGGGGGTGTGTATGTGTCCGTGGGTGTGTGGAAGGGGGAGTAGTAAAGGGATGAGGAGGAGTCCTCCAAATGAGGAGAGCCGTGAAAACCAGCCGCTCACCTGTGCAGATGACACCGGCATCCTCCAGGTGCCTGCAGTTGAGTCCGGCCTGGCCCTTGTGCACACACTGCCCAAGGTGGCTCTCACTGCCCACACACTGCACATCATCCAGCAGGATCTTCCCAGAACCTGCCCCAAAGTGGGCCCCTGTGGGGGCTCCCATGGCCTGGCCACACTGCAGCTGGTGGCACATAACGGTGGCATCTGCCAGGTCCCAGAGGTCATCACACACAGTCCCCCACGTGTCCTGGTCAAAAACCTCCACTCGGCCTGAGCACCTTCCTGTGCCATTCACCAGCCTCACCTCCACCCAGCCCCCTGGGGAGACACACAGCAGTGGGAAGAAAGGTGTTGTGTCAGAGTACTATCTTAATCCTATTCTATCAGGCCCTTTTTAATACTACTTCCATAATACTCACATCTTCCACAACACAAATAGATTAAAAGATGAAGAGAATGACAATGAGATGACGATGATGATAATGATGGCGACAACAATGACGATGAGGATGAAGATGGTGATAGTGACAATATTGATGATGAGGACAACAAGTATAATATTACAATGGTCATACTAATATTTCATGAGGTTTTCTCCCTTGCAGGCTCTAAGCAAAGTGCTTTACAAGTTTGGCCTCACCATTCTTTGAGAGTAGCTCAATTACTTTCTTCTTCTTGCCATCGAAGGACAGAACTCTGAAAGTTCAAGTGATGTGCTCAGATTGAATACCGCAACCCTCAAAACCAGCTGGCCACAAGGAACTACATGTGTTTGCGATCAGACCGATAGACACTCACACCCTGTCTTCTTCACTGCTCCCTAGTTGGTTGGTGCTTAGGGAAAAGCCCTTTTCTATGCGAACACATGTGGTAAGTGTGGCAGAATTAGCTTGTGTTGTAGATTTGTTTGAGCAGTTAATGCACTACTAGTTACACCAATGCACCTGTGTCTCTGCTCATCACATTTTGGTATTTCAATAAATGTTGGGGCTTTCATTTTCTCAGAACTTACCTGTGAGGTGTGTATGTATGTGGTGTGCCGGGCTCCAGGGTCTATGCTGGCTATGGTTGCAGATGGCCAGTTGTGTGTCAATAGGGACAAGCAGAAGCATCCATTACCTGAACCAAAAATCTCTCTGCCATCGAGAGTAGAAAGCCAACTCCTTCTCCTGCAGAGTGGCTGGTTGATTTGAACCATTGGCCTTGCAATGATCGGCCCAGTACTTTGACTCACAGGACCTTTGGGAAACCCTAAACCCAACTTCAGAGGAACACATGGTTGAAAACCAAAGGTCAGTTAAATATGTAGTGTCAGTTCATGACTCAGTTTATCCAGAAGCCAGTAGAGTTAGTCTGTCAGCTGCAGCAGAGGGCCTCCTTGTTGGAGCCATGGAAATGCCTACAGTTGCTTCACTCAGCACAAAGTAAATGACTATGGTCCATTTACAATCCAGTATATTCATTTTTATACCAGGGTGGGGTAGTGGTTACACGTTGAGCTGTGATCTGCATGGTCAGCAGTTCAAAACCACCAGCAGCTCTGCAGGAGAAAGACTGGGCTTTCTATTCCCATAAATAGTTACAGTCTTGGAAACCCAGAAGGTTTCAACACTGGCACGATGGCAGGGAGTTTGGTTTTGGTTATAGTCATAAAACATAATTTTGGGGCTTTTTTTGGATTGTTAATGGAGAAAGGGAGTTCTGAAAATAGAAGTAGCCAAGGCTCACAAAAGTCATTGAGTTGCCCAAGTAGCAGCTGAGACACACGAAATAATGTCTGTCTGTGTGCTGGCTATGGTTGCAAAAAATCCATCCCTGTCACTAGAGACAAACAGAGGCACTCCTAGTCATGAGGATACCCTAAACCCTACTGAGAAAGAAAAATGTTTGGAAACAGACACAGCCTGGTCACAGTCAAATATGTGACAGTGTCAGCCCCTAACTCAACTCCTCAGAGGCACAATTCTTCAAAGGGGCACATTCAGCACTTCATGCAGCTTCAGCTCTAGGGAAGGTGCTGCCTAGTGCTTGGCACATAGCTCCCTTTCCACGTTCCCTGTAGCACAAGTGCCAGCTCACCCTCAGGAGTAAGAGTTGGAGAAAGAGAATTTATGGGGAAGGAGAGATAGATAGGAAGTAAGTGAACCCAGCAATAATCAGTCTCACCTGATGGGGCATATGATGGGGTGACAACTTCTGGCTCTGTGGTTGGGGTGAGCTTAAGAGAACCATCAGCCCCTGATGGTAGAGAGAAAGTCATAATGCTAAAGCCGACTGGGCTGTTTACAAACGAATCCCCACTGACTTCTGAGAAAATGAGCTGGTGTTTTTAAAAAGGTCCAAAGGCAGCAACATCCTGGCAAATCCAGGCTCCTCCCACTGCAGATGACGCCAGAGTCTCATGAGTTAGATCAGAGCTCACGAATTATTTGGCAACAAAATAGGTTTTCTGGGAACATCTCTTAGCAACCCAACCAACCAACCAACCAACCAACCAACCCAACCAACTAACCAACCAACCCAACCAACCATCCAACCAACCCAACCAACCCACCCACCCACCCAACCAACCAACCAACCAAACAACCAACCAACCTAAACAACCAACCAACCAA